CTTTGTAAATGTGCACTGACGTCAACGTCGAATTCCAGGACTTTCGACGGTAAAGCTGGCCTGCCTGCCCCGGTCCCAGGCCAACCAATAATAATTAACAAAATGTTTTGGTTTTTTTTAATATAGGCATATGGCACATTTTGTACACGCACTTCAACTTTTACAACAAAAGCCTAGGCCTAGTACTTGTAGTACGTCCTACTGCTGTACTTAGGCCTATACTGGTTTGTTGTCGTCGGGGTATAATTCTGCCTCTAAATGAACGAGGAGCGAACCTAGCTAGTCAACATCTAGGCTAGGCTAATTGATTTTGAAATCAATAACCCACCTTGAAGGACTATCTGTCGTTTCTTCTTTGCAACAACGGACAAAAAAAGTCAGTTATTCTAGGACGTTTCATGATTCTTTTTATCACTAAAAATTAACAAACACTCGTTTTGACGCACTCCGTTCTGTAGTGTGTGTCTACTGTTGAAAACAAACTTCCTAGCCTAATTTTGTGACTGGCTATGATGACTGAGATGGACCATGTTGATTTATTAATATTTTGCTTGGGATGGAAAAAAGGAGAGTCAATTTCCCACAAATGCTCCAACAGCACATAGTTTAGTGTGCGCTATGGACAGTATGGCTAAGGAATTTACTGACCACACAATCCACAATCAGGTGATTAAGTCGCGAAACTTTATCTGCATTTGGTGGATTAAGTCGCAAAACTTTAGCTTCGTTTGGTGGCACCATTTACTCTAGGTAGACGGCGACCGGTTTCGTTAACGGTTGGTACATTTCTTATATTCAGCCAAAGCCCAGTGAAAGTTGAGACGGCAGCCGGGTTTTTATCAAAGTTTTGCCATTCTTATGAGTGCCATCGTAAAGTCATGGTTTGCTGGAGTTGAGTTCAATTTAAATCTCCGAACTTCTGAAGCTGAGATATTCTATGAATGTAGGCTTGTATCGCAGGCTACAATTTAAAAACGGGTGACCAAATAATGAATTAGGTGCTAAATTTTGATTTAATGCTAGGTAAGTCAAAAACATATATTCCGTCCGAGTGGGACTCATTCAAAAATTCGAGGGGGTTCGCTAGAAAAGGGGGGTTCGCTAGAGAAGGAGGGGTTCGCCCGAACCATAAAAATCCCCCCTGGCTACGGGCCTGTAGCAGGTGGACCCACTAAATGTTCAAATAAGTTGGAAAAATATTTGGTATTACATGTATATTTTAACTAATATAATAGTCACATAAACGTCACACAATTATTTCATCAAAACACTATGGGATATCTCGTTATTTTCCCGGCGTACAGCGGTGAACATGTATTTCTGATAGGGCTGGCATAGTACGCAAATATCTCTTATAAGGTATTCAGTTTTCTACATGTTCCTATTAAAGTTGAATAGGAAGTAGTACTTCTCCATCATTTTCCACTATTTTTATGTTTGAAGGACGTATATTTCTTGAGTTATGAGGAATCGGCATTTTTCTGAGGTCAAAGGTCAAATCTGAAATGCTCTCAAATGTTAAAATTGTTGAATTGCCAATGTGAGTTTGTATACCAAGTTTCATGCTTCTATCCCAATTTGAAGTATCAAGGGTCTAAGGAACCCCACTAAAGGGGGAAAATGACCCAAAAAAGAGAATTTAAATGCAGGAGTATCAGAAGCTAATGTGGGCCTAGACGTATCACACATAACCTCTGCTATACTGTCATAAGTCCTGTTGATCTGTATATAAGAAATATGGGCCTGTAGGCATACTGTGGAACAAAATTATGCTCATGAAAATGTTTGCATTTTCGGCCAAATAATAAAAAAAAAATGTATCTTCGTATTCCTATGCTCTTGGAAAGACAATAAAAACAACATAGAAGACAATACTAAATAATTTTTGCCTCTTTGTATTATTCTATTACTAGCTGTGTACCCGTCCTTTGGACGGCGGTAATCAAAGCAAACTAAACGCAAAAGACTGATTACAAAAAAGTATTTCATATCGTGAAAAAAGTATTTCATATCGTGGTGCTATCGAATGGAATAGATTAGGCACTGATGTACAGTCTTCTATCAATTTAAGTACAGTATTTTCAAGAACCACATATGTATTAATAATTGAAAGCAAAGTATAATAGTATGAACATTGTACAAATCACTAATTTAATGTTTACTTGCTTTTTTTATATACATTTTACAATTCTTTTTCGTAATTCACAGATTACTTTTGTGGAGTGGATTTTCTTCATTTCGATAATTTATTTTTGCCATTTGTTAGGTATAGATTACTTTTATTTTACTAAATTGTTGACTTTCTATCTACATTATTTAATTTGTGTGTTTAACTTTTGCTTTCTGATTATGTAGCGTACTGTGTAATCTAGGTTAATTGTAAGTAAGGTACGGTATCTCACGACCACAATGAAAAACAGCATTATATTTGTTGATTTGTGCTTCGTGAATAAATAAAGTTTTACTACTACATTGGTGCTCTAGTTGTCATCGTTGGTGTTATGGTGGAGCTGAAATAAAAACTGAACGTCTGTGTTCGTAGCTGTCGTCGTCGTCATCAGCATCATTCTCGTTAGCTGAATCAATGTCATTAAAGAATTGAGAGAAATCATCATCATAATTCTTATTAGCAGAATCAATTAATGGAAGCATTAAAACAATTAACAGAAATATTTGTACATTACAGATCAAGCCTGTGTTTATTCAATAATCATCGTTTTATTATTTGGGTTGGCAAAAAAGTATTTTTAATGTATTTGTTTCTTAAACATTTCAACATACAGCAGGGGCTGATCAAGAATTTTTCAAATGTGAAACTTCAGTGAAAATTTGGTTGAAATCAGCTCAGTAACAAAGGAGAACATCTCGGACACACGCACCCCAATTTGCCTTTTATAGATTATAGCCTTCATATAGATGCACCACTCCTATGTGTTCCATCGATGTAAAGGTGTAATTTCCAAAATAAATAATTATAAATAATGTTAGATGCAGTTCAGTAGATATTAGATGTTACACGTACAGTAAATTGGTGGCGCTATACAACTAATTGGTTTACGATGGTTATGATGCTAACACGTGGTGTTTTGACACAATTTTATTGTGAGTGGTACAACTGTGTCATAATTACTACACGTAGTACGTGTAGTACGCATAGTACGAGTAGTACGCGTACTACGCGTAGTACGTGTAGTACGCGTAATACGCGTAGTAATTATGACACAGTTGAACCGCCATACAGAGTGCACCAAGCGAAACGAGACGAAATTGAGACATGTGGTAATGGTAATAGTAGTAGTTATAGTGATCATTCAATGTTTTGTATTAAATCTACTAAGCTAGATAGAAATCACTTTAAAGTCAAACTAAGTGTAAATGATGTAAACCTGGAAATGCTAATTAATACTCAGGTTGATGATACAATCATGTCTACTGATACTTACAGCAAATATTTCAGTCACATTGATATTGTCCCAAATGTAATCCCACTTGAAACGTACAGTGGTGAGAAACTTAAATTAATTGGGAAAATTAAGTGTAAGGTTGTTGACAAACAGAACACAGTACATGACTTAAGTGTTAATGTAGTGACTATAATAATAAACCTACCTTACTTGTATTGGATTGGCTCAATGTTGTGAAACTAGAGTGGAAACAGATAACTGAAGATTTAGATGCCAGAAGAGTAAATAGTTTGCAAAATGACAAAGGCATAAATAAGGGTACGCATCCCCAGTTACAAGCATTGCTAAAAGAGCATGCACAGTTGTTTGAGGCAGATAATAAAGGTATTGCATGAGATAAAGTTCACATTAATATTGTGGCGGTCAGATAATACGGATCGACTTACTAAACACTAACGTCGGGATTTCCCAGTTCTAAGCTTCATGAGATCCAGAGCTCAAGTCTTGGGCAATGGGTCCAAGAACCCAACCCAGCTATTTTTAGATAGCCAGTCGGCTCCCAGCATTAGGGAGTGGCCTAATCTAATTATAATAGGGGGTGGACTGCAGCATTTTGTTACACTGCCCCCTCCTCAGATGTATCGGTCCCTTTGATACGCAAGAAACTCATTTATTTTAAACAAACAAGACAAATTAACTCAGATAAAGAAGTAATCATAATGTCCAATTATCATTATAAGTTGTCATATAAGATTACTGAATATTCATTATCAAATTTACAACAAATCACAACATAATTATTGAAATAAAATTGCCATTTAGATTAAGTTTAACAGACGATTAGGTCTTTAGAACTATAACACAGTATATTCTCTTGTTGTCACCACTTCCCGAACTTTCTTTTCGTGACGGTATTCCGTTTCGCAGACAATCTCCTTCACGGTTTTCACTCTTCCCTGCAACAAAGCCTCTAAATCCACTAAGGTCCTCTTAGTCTGGAATCGGGGCGGCGACCCTGGCACACCCTCACTGGCAGTTTCCGAATCACTGCTTATATTTGCACCACAATTTGCAACAGTCGGAGAAGATTACTAGGTTTTCCCTTTGGTACAATAGCCGAAGACATCTCCTTACTTGGAATCTCCTCTTGAACAGGACTGAAAGCTGACTCAGGCGTTAAACTTAACACATCGCCTGCTGGATCCACCGCCTCTGGTGCTGGCGCCACCACCACTTCTGGCACAGGTATTTCTACCTTTGGCAGTGGTACTTCGAAATTTGTTACTGGTATTTTAACATTTGGTACTGGTAGGTTATCGCACCTGTATGAACGTTCTCCCCTCATCTCAACTGTGGCCTAATTAATAAAAAAATAAAAAAAAGAAGCAAAATAATAAACAAAACATGATCCTGTAGACTCCCACATTTTTCCCCCCGTGCAAAAAATTTTTCACTTGTCGTAGCGAGCGGGCCTTCTTCGTGCCCTCGGGAACCTCATAGGACGACTATGCTCTACTACAGTAACTGTCGGTGGTGTTACGACATCCTCTGATTCCTTGTTGATTTTGGGTGGACTTCCACTAACTTGTAGTTCTGCTACTTCTTCTTAATTTGTGGACCCAGTGGTTCGTCAACTAACTCTTGACTACTGCCTGCCGACTCGTTAATTTCAGTTGGTGTTGTTTCGACCATCTCAATTGGGGTTTGTATATCCGGCCTCTCGTCTCTAGCTTCAGCTTCACTTGCTGTGCCCCAGTATGGCGAAGGCTTCCCCTCATAGACTTTCAGTCGGTCGATATGAACCACCTTGCACTTCTTCCTTGGTCCTTCCTGGATGCTGAACGTTACCTCTGATAATTTCTTTACCACTGCATATGGCCCTTGCCAGCGGCATTGTAATTTTGGAGACTTGCCTATTGTCTTGGCTGAATTGTACAGCCACACGAACTGCCCTTCTGTTAGTTCCTGTCTGCTCGCTTTCTGGTCATATGTCCTCTTTTGTCGTCGTGCACTAAGCTTCAATACTTGTCGCGCCCGTTGAGCTGCACGAATTCTTGTCCGACGTTGCTCAACGTAATCGGTCTTCACTTCGATATCCGTCGCTCCAGTAGTGGGTAGCATTAGATCAAGAGGGAGGGCTACTTCTCTCCCTAGCACCATCATATTGGGTGTTTCCCCTGTCGATTCTTGTGGTGTGCATCTATACGCGAAGGTTGCACATGGTACATGTTCATCCCAATCTCTTTGATTACGATGTGGATCTAGCATGGTTGCCAACATGTTTACAAGGGTACGGTTGAACCGCTCAACCATGCCATCAGACTTCGGGTTGTAATGTGTCGTCCGTGTCTTACCTAACCCTAGAATTTTGCACAATTCTGCAATAAGATCCGACTCGAAGTTTCTCCCCTAATCAGTGTGTGACTGTCGTGGGACACCATACCTCAGCACGAAGTTCTCCACGAAACAACGGGAAACAGTTTCGGCCCTCTCATTTTGGTATTGGGTAGGCCTCCATCCATTTGGAGAAATAATCGCCAACAACGAGTATGTACTTATTGCCTCTATCAGACTCAGGAAAAGGACCTGTAATATCCGTCGCCACCCTCTCCATCGGACTGCCAACAGCCTGCTGCTGAAGTGGTGCTCTCTTTTTCTTGGGTTGTGATTTCCTTCGGGCGCAAGCATCACACTGCCGTATCCACGTTCGAATCCAACTGCGAATCTCCGGCCAGAAATAACTTTGTGTTACCCTAGCTGTAGTCTTTGCAACTCCCACATATCCGCCTGGTTTTTCTCCCATGAAGTTCTTCTAGAGCTGCCGCTCTCATCTCTACTGGAAGGACCAGTTTCTAACTAATATCATGTCCGTCATCTGATTCCCACCTACGATACAAAACTTCATCCCGCACCTCCAACAAGTTCCAAATCTGCCAGTATAATTTGTCAGTTCGGCTCAATCCAGCCATTTCCTCCCATGGCTGCTGTGGCCCGCCTTGTTCCTTGATTTCCATAACTCTCCGCATTGAATTATCTTCCAGCTGGGCTCTACGAATATCATCGAGGCGAGTGTTGGGTTGTTTGTACTGCTCGTGCAGAAGCATTAGTTCCTGTCCGGTAGAGGGTAGGCCAAGACTGGTAACCTTGTTAATCGAACCTTTAGTTCCACAAAAGCTCCCCATATGGAAACGTTGTATCATTTGATCTCCAAGGTCGCCTTAACAATTGGAGAAAACTGGATTTTTTTCACAAAAGTACGTTTTTGGTATAAAATCTAGGATTTTCTTGTAATGGCCCAAGTAGATTATGTTGTAAAAAATATTATTCTACCAATTCGTGAAGAAAAAATGAAAAAAATCCCTACAGTTTTGTCGGAATACGCCGGTTTATAATAGCTCCTCACGCCGATTTAGATAGGGAATTTCAAGAAATTTGAGGTTTTTGGCTGTTCCGAGCTCGTTTCTTACTCCCTCACTCACAGACTATTTGTTTGTTCGAATTGGCCCAAGAGGATTCGTGGAGAGAATATAATATGAAGCTTATATAAAACTTAGTATGATTGGTTGGGTAGTTTTATCGGAAAATAAGAAAATATAAAATCCAATCCACGATTCCTCTCATGGGGTCAAAAAATCTCTCAAGCGTGATATTCCGATTCACTGGTATGACGTCATACTTCTGTTTACTTGACTTGTGTTCGCAGTGTTTGACTTCTTTCTTCGTGTATTTTTGCCTAATTTAGTTACCAGTTGGATTGTTTGTGTCCTTTTGTTACCTTTATTAAAAAAACAAATGTCCCAAGACAAGATACTTGCAACAATTAGGCGATATTTCTGCAAAAAATGCAATTTATAGTCTGGACCATTTGAAAATTCCCGTAGGGGTGTACCGTAAAGCTAAGCCAATCCCGACAACACGAAAGTGTGGACTAGGGGAAGAGAGATCTCAGCATTTGTTCACTGTACATTGTACTATGTGTACTGTTAAATATATGTTCAAATACAAGTTTTAACAAAAGAATATTGACTGTGCAGATTGAGTTTTGTTAGTATTTAACCCCATAATCAGGCCCGTATCCAGGGGGGGGGGTGCTGGGTGCGTACGCAACCCCCCCCCCAAAAAAAAATGAAAAACGTCCACTAATTACAGTATAACCCAAAAAAAATGTGACCTTGTTCCCAGAATCATTATAAAATGAATCACGTAACAGATTAATGAAAATGAAACAAGCCCAATGTTTTTAATTGGTCGATCCAAACTGCTTGTACAGCGGGGTTGGTTTGACCTCAGTTCGCTGCTTTCGTGATAGCTGGACTAGCAAATAATAAAAAGTGGCAAAAACGTTTCCATATGCACAGTCAGTATCCCATGAGAATCTTCTGGCTTTCTCAGTTAGTTTATACAGTGGTGCTGCTATTGAGGCAAAACCCTTGATGAAACGTCTATAGTACGAGGCTAATCCTAAGGCCATTCCTTTATGCCTTCAATTTCAGCCGGGTCAGTCATCACTCCGGCATGCGAAAATCTATGCCCTCTACAGTTTTCCATACACGATTATGTCATCTAAATACACCAGTAGTATATCCCATTGAAATCCAGATAGAACGTGTTCCATCAGTCTCTCAAATGTTGATCGAGCGTTACACAGCCCAAACGGCATTACCTTCCAGGAATACATGGCCCCACGCACTACAAATGCTGATTTATCTTTCGCCTCGGCATTTATTTCAACTTGCCAATATCCTGAGGCGAGGTCCAAGGTGGAAAACCACCTGGCTCCTGAAAGTGCGTCAAGTGAGTCATTTATCCTAGGTATGGGATAGGCATCTTTTATGGTAACTGAATTCAAACGCCTGTAATCCACGCAAAAGCGCTTCGTCCCGTCCTTTTTCGTGACCAAGACAACATTTGATGCCCACGGGCTCTCCGAATGCTCAATCAGGCCTCTGTCTAATAGGTCCTGCACTTGCTGATTTATCTGCTCACTGGCCTCCATCGTCTGGCGCCGGGGTTGTTCCTTAATTGGTTGTGCCGTTCCAACATTTATGTGGTGTATTACTTCGCCAGTTCTACCTACGTCGTAATCTCCTTTAGAAAACACATCTTGAAATTCAGCCAAAAGTGATGCAACTTGTTCGTGGTAATTTCCGTCAATGGATGCCACGCTCCGCTGCAACAGATCACTAAGGTGCTCGGGTACTCGTCCGCTGCTGACAGGCGGCTCCTTTCCTGTATGTGTCGATTCGATTTGGTCTTCTAATATTGGTGTTAGCTTGCCAACTGTGGTTCCCTCTCGAAGGACTCGTCGTTCTTTACCAGGGTAAAAACGTGTAAAGGTAGTTGTCCGTCTTCAACCTTCACTACTGTCCTTGCTAGAATTAGGCCATTCTTAGCCAGCTCCTCTTCTTGGTTAGGTTCCACTATTTCTACTACCGGGCAGCTCGTCAACATTCTGGCGAATCCATCATGTTTAAGTGACCAACTGGGTCATTATTACACCGTTTGGGAATTTAAATAGGATTAAAACAGCTGATCGTTCACATTACTTTTTCGCATGCATATTTGAACAACACTACTGTAGTTCTTTATAGGCGGATCCAAGAGGGTTCAGCCGGCCCGGGCCCCTCTAAATTTGCCAAATTAAATTTAAAAAATACGAAAAAAGAAAATTCGACTAAATTCTTTAGTCTATGAGTGCCATTTCCGGCCATCTAGAGGTGCCATAGTCATAAATTTTCTTACCTCAGCCCAATCTTGGTGGGGCTGAGGAAATATATACCCTTCACCTGTGAATGTCCCTCTCCAGGCCCCCTTATTTCAAATTTCTGGATCCACCACTGAATCTTGTTGTACCGCAAATAAGACAGATCATTATGAATCACCCTCATCTGTTTATCACTTGCATATTCATATATGTATTATATGTATACACAATATATATAAAGGGAGATAAATTCATGTACTGTATACACAAATTATATAAAGGATATATAATTGAAGAAAAACTGTCATTGATTATTGATGACTACCGTACTCAAATCAAAAAACCTAAAAGGCTATAACTTTCAATCCAATTCAGTCAGTGATACAAATTCGGAAATGTTGCCCCCCCCCCCACCACCCAAATAAAGTGAATTATTGCTAAGTACCAGCTTTTGAGTCATCATTGGAGATCTTCCTTGGCAGCTGAGGGTCTTAATCTTCAAACCAGGGACCTCCTCTCATTTATGTTGTTTGCTGATTTGCTCCATGGCTCTTTACGCTCTCAATTTGGTGGGGATTCTGCACCAAGTCTGTTGAGATTAACCCAAGTCTTTTTTCCAGGTTTACAACCTGTTGGTTACTGAAAAGGCAGTCAACAAACTGCTTAATGTACAAAGTTACCGGACCATCAGTCTACAATCTAAGTTGGTTGGTTCGAAGTGCTGTAACAGAGCTTTTGTAGCATAATGATTAACAGGCCCGTAACCAGGTTCTTCCAAGGGTGGGGGTGGTTTCTTGGCGTGAGGTACACGGTCGAAGCCCCGGTGGGGTCGGCAAAACCCCCCAAAGCAAGAGGATTTTTGTGCTTTATGGGTCTAAATAATGCTATAAAAGCAGATATGTTGGAAAAGGTCTTTGTTTGGTTGGGTCTGCAGTGCATTAGTTGGGTTGGAGGACTTATTTGGGAAATTTGAAGAGGGGGGTTCGCCAGAAAAGAGGGGGTTTGCTAGAAAAGGGGGGTTCTCCCGAACCATAA